ATATAACTAGACGAACCTTATGGTTGTACGGCAGTGGAGCATCAGTCCCAACACTGATGTTGCTGTCTTCGATGGTGATGATAATGGTTTCCTGGCTTATTTCAATTCATCGTAGGTAGACATGGGCCAGAAACAACAAGAACGGATGCTGGGGTATGTTGAGCACGCTTCATTCAAGAGATGTATGATAGCGTCAAATTACTGGCGATGGTTCGATTGCGGCTCGGGACGAAGACAATTCACAAATTATACGTTGTATTTTCACTAACGGGCTGTCTGCTGCCATAAACTATGGGCTCGCGTCATTATTTCCATCAGAAATCCCCTCCGATAGTGTCGTTCCCCCAGTTAATCAAGCATGAAAAATCTCATCGTCCAGAGTCTTGCTAAATCATGATTAACTCTTCCGAGTCTGCAGGCCAGCGCCGTATTTGTCTCTCTGCACAGGCAAAGAACAGCAATCAGATTGCCTTAGCCTGGGGCCTGCGGGTAGCAGTTCTGGCGTATGGTAAAAACATTACCTTGGTACGAAGCTGTCTATTTTTCTCGGTTGCGTGAGGCCACCATCTTGCTTGTAAAAAAGATCCCAAAACAAGCATACAATCATAGAGATTGGATTTGACCTTGTCACCGTATCGAGCTTGGACCTAATCAAACGAAACAGAATGAGTTATCTAAAAAGCACGACGGAAGAACGTTCCGTCAACCAGGCTTATACTTTTTGAAGTTGTTATAGTGTGGGAGCATCATGTTGTACGAACGTTGGGCCCAGCGAGGCTAGGTGCTCACCAAGCTTCTCTATGCAGAGTTTTGGGACACAATCTATCTTCGGTTGTACATAGCTTGTTTATTAAAACCGCGGTCACATTCACTTCATTCCTTCGTGATAACCTCCTTTGTTTGCAAGTTACTGTCAAGTTTCAATTGTGTCTTTATACAGCAAAATTTAGCCGGAAATAGTGTAAGACACACCCGAGACAAAAGTCATCATCTCTTCCGTCGACTTCCAAAAAGTGTACACATGTTGCAACCCCTTTGAAAAGCGTTCCACAAATTCCTGCGACCACTGAATTATTTTATGCTATTTAGTTATATCGGATGTTTTTTCCGTTGGATCTTGTTCAATAGTCGCTTGTGTTGAAAATAAATGATATTTTCAATCTGCGTGGTAAATTACAACGTATGAGATACATAGAGTATAAGGCAGGAGTACTAGTATGTAGTGAGAAAACGAAAAGATTTGCAAATGAGTGTATTTCTCGAAAACAGTTCGATTTGGGTTCAAGTGGAACATAAGACTGACGGAAACTCCGAATAGTTATTGACTTTTGAGTAAACTAATCTTCGCCGCCCTACTTCTGCATACCAATCGATGCTTGGGGTTTTTGGTAGCACCAATAACGCGTAAAAACTGTTCATGTTTTCGGTTGCATTACACTTTACTCTGCGTCCGTGTGGATTTATACTAATCAAACCAACACCGAAAGCTGCGTTGGTTGGGACATGTGTTGCGTATGCCGAACCATCGTTTTCCATGCCCATTTCAGAGTGGCGTAAACAGAGAGGTAGCCAACCCTTGACTTGGCAGAGGAGTATGAAGGAGATCACGAAACGCTTGGGTGCTGTCGGTGCTACTCGCCTTCTAAGATCAAGACCGCGTGATCCTTACTGTGCCTGGTTGGAGACACTACAAGATATGCCTGTCAACCGATGTCAGTGGCGTTCTTGTTGTCAGCTTCTATCCAGATTGTCTGAGTGAGTGTCTGAATGTACAGACACCTCGGAATGATTGTGGTTAGCTAGTACTAAGTCCCTTCCCCGTCTACCCTTACTCTTTTCTTTACAATAAGGCTTTCCAGTAAGTCATGGTTGTACGGCAGTGAAGCATTGGTGTTGAACACTGATGTCATGCTCTCGATGATGATGATGACACACGTTTAAAAACGATACGTGCTTTGTACGTTTTGAATCACATTTGGTTTCAGACCGTTTGCTTTTCCGCTCCATTATCCTACTGTTCAGCCTCGAAAAAATGGTATCAACACTGTACATAGGTGAGCTAGCCAGACTGGCCATCTTGGAGGCTACGGAAAAGAAACTCCTTTTCAATGGTCAACTGCCCGAAAGACTGGCTGTTGCCAATAGCTTCACATCGCAGTTCTTATTTGATATTGATCGGTAAGTTTGTTTGTTTGTTTGTAGCAACAGATAACCCAATTTCAACTGATTCCATGATCCTCCAACGAATTCTTACCCATGTCCCAATGCATATCCTCGCCATAAGTCCCAAAGTTCACTTTTACGATGGGTTTGACTGATCGGAAGGGTGTTTCTGGAATTATTTCCTATTTTTGAGGCGAAATGTCTTTTGGGAGTTGTACGATTTTCTTTGAACTTGAATTCAAACTAAACAGATGGGAAAAAATGAAACTTATTTCATTTCGTAACGCCGAGAGCGTAGTACAGTTGACATTTGTAAACTCTATTAGTGAATCCATCCTTTCCGTATTGTCAGGTCATAGCTTGGTGCAAGTCCAATCCAACGTTTTCCAGTTCTACGTAAAATTCACCAGTCAAATGTTTGAAGTAACTGAAGTGACCGTCAGTGAGCCATTGAAGTTTGAATGTTTTAACTTTGTTCCTGATAAACCCCCAAGTGAAGCACTAGACTGATACATCACAATTGAATATGCTGAACAAGGCCGCCCCGTCACGAAGAGACTGGACCTTACCGTGGTGTGGCGGTTTGTGTACCTCGGCGACCCATTGAACTATACTGGGGAGTGTCCGCGCGACACTTATAGAGTCTCTCAAACCGAGTTGGTCCATGGGTAGAGATCTGGCGAACAACCTGGCCCTCCAGGTTGGGGGTTGGAACATGTATGGCGACGTGTTCCGTAAAAATGGTAAGGTACTTGCATTTTGAGCCAAAGGCTTTGGTTGAGGACCATAATTGTCCTCCTGTCTAGATGTGGGCGCCATGGCAGTATCCCAGCTCTCGTACAACCATGACATACACAAAGGCCGCCTTATGTTTCAGCTGGTACGATATTCGAGAAATCGCAATATATCTTCATAAACGAAACTACTCTTAAGGTTGCTGAAAATTATTCGACAGCCCACGACTCATCAGGTCGGCCCAGTCCCCGAGTTTCCGTCAACTTTATGTTCTAATTGAAACGAAATTAGCGAAATGAACTTACCCGCTTAGAAACACCATAAAAAACGAGAGATTCAACTGGGTTCTAGGTAAGCCTCTCGCAAAAACAAATTTGCCTGCAGATGCATGCAGTTCGCTACCTTCATTTGCTTTCATTCGCTGATGGTAGTAGGCTGGTAGTACGCATTATTCCGCTTTATTATTTTATTATTATTCTCAAATATCTAATGGTGGTTGGACGGTAAAGCATAGGTAATGAGCATTGATGTGCCGCTGATAGTGATAACTATGACTGCCAAAAACACGTAGGTAAATATGATGCCTTTAGGAACTTGATCGAGATGTCCACAAAATTCCTCGGACCTGTTATTTCCATGAATTTTGTCCGCCGGCTGCATGTAACAATATGAGTGTATCTGTTTCCTCACCTCGGACAAGACCTCAACGTGAGCTTCACACAGGAGAACGGTTCTGACTAGTTCACAGAAAGAGTGCACTGTCATGATGGGAAGATGCACGAAACCAACCAGATTACTGGTTCCATCGCACCTACGCTATTCACAACATATTATCTGCAATTGTTTCGATGGAGAATCATCATAACTTGGCCATTTAATTTATGATTGTTTGTTTTGGTTGTTTGAAGTGAGGATTCAAGCAACTGTGGATCGGTGGCCATCAAATGGATTTAATTTTTTTCGGGGAATCACACTAATCACGAGGTTCATGGAGACTTCAAAATCCCATGACAGGACTCTTTTTACTTGGCGCTCTTCACGTTGGCGCAGTTCCTGTGTTCCCTACATACACCTTGTGACTTCCAGGAAAAGCATAACTGATCGTGAGCTGTCGAAAAGTTTTCAGCAACCTTGTAAGTAGTTTCGCGAAAATATACAAGTGAGGATTCAAGCAACTGTGGATCGGTGGCCATCAAATGGATTTAATTTTTTTCGGGGAATCACACTAATCACGAGGTTCATGGAGACTTCAAAATCCCATGACAGGACTCTTTTTACTTGGCGCTCTTCACGTTGGCGCAGTTCCTGTGTTCCCTACATACACCTTGTGACTTCCAGGAAAAGCATAACTGATCGTGAGCTGTCGAAAAGTTTTCAGCAACCTTGTAAGTAGTTTCGCTTATGAAAATATACTGCGGCAACTCAGATATCGTCCTAACTGAAACATGAGGCGGACTTGTGCGGCAGTTCAGTTGAAGATGCACTTCACAAACCAGTGATCCAACTTTATCTGCAAGTGGGTGCAATTTTCCAGTGGCTGCTATCCTATCTTGAAGGGGATAACGAACAATGTGCGTGGTTGTCATTCATGAGAGACATCGTTCAAACACGTATGAGAATTAGGTGGATTTATTTGCCCTTGAGCAAGTCCTTGTGTTTGTCACTTGATATACAACCCAAATAAGTAATTCAGGATGGAGTTTGGACCAACCCAGTTCAATATCTTGTTATGTTGGTGTATTATATGTGTGTTAGCTTATATAATATATATTTTGTTATGTTGTAAGTAGTTGATGGACCGGCAGAGTTCGTAGTAGCCAGCCTAGTTTGAACAATGATGTTATTTTGGTTAGAAGAGGTGAGAATCACACTGGGAGTGGAATTTCACTCCCATCAGAACCCGCCAGAAGTGCCTACCCTTCCCCGTGCTGAGAGTAAAACTCGATGTATCAGACATGACAGAGCAGCCCGTCAATGCTAATCCACCGGCTCACGATGGACGAACATGGTTGAATGTTTCAGAGCTTTGAAGTACGACTCGGCCTGTCCAAGCCTTATCCATTGTTGTGGCTCATCTTCTGAAGCTTTTCAGTTAGGCGATGTGGTGAAAGCCTGAAACCCACTGAAAATTGATTTTCTTCAGATGTTATCGGTTAAGGATTCGTAAGAGTTGAGGTCGTTTTTCCAGTTATACTAGCCCAAAAACGTTCTGGCTGCGTAATTCTTTGGAATTTCATTTTATTTCAGTGATCCACCACACATCTACATGTCAACGGAAGTTGTGCTTCGTGAACGGTTCAAGATCACCTGCATTCGTAAGATGGATATGGTGAACATTCGGTATATCTGTCGCGCACTCGTAACCAGATCAGGAAATATGGTTGGAGCGAGTAAGTGCGGCATCGCGGAAGGTTACTTTGCAAACCCATCAGAAATTTCAGTCCATCTATCGGGAAGCGCTCTGGTGGAACTCAAAGTGTTAGAGTGGTTACCTGATCCTCGACAGGCTCTCATATCCATTCTTGTTGTGTGCTTACACGGAGCTATTTGTAAATACCAATTAAAGTAGTTTGTGCATAGTAAACACCATATTTGATATTCTTGGCACGCACAGGATTGCTAATAAGAACAAAGCTATCGAATGCTTCTTGTCTGAGGATATTACTCAAGTCAATAGGAGGTAGACAGATATCAGAGCAGTTAAATATCACACACGTGCCGTTTCCTTTGGCGAAATTTACTCACCGATTCAGCAAAAATGAACTCTTATGAATATCTACATATTCAAACGAAAATTGTCATTTTGTTTGTCTAAAAAGTCCAGCACATAATCGTACATAACCGTCATCTTTGTCACCTGTAATAACCGCGTACTCGTCGTACAGTGGATGGCGCTGCCGCAGTTTCGTTCACCGATGATTTGGGGGTGGGGGGGAGTAGATAGTTTCGCATTGCAGGCGGGANGATGTTTTGGGGGGGGGGGGAGGTAAAGTGGGCTGTCAAGTGGGGGTTGGGGTTGGAAAAGGAGCTATGCATTGAAAGCAATAGCGTGGATGCACGAGCGCCACTGAGGACGCGACTGGGCCATGCCTGACGATGTCTCTAACCACTGATATGGCCCGTCTCATGGTCCCTATCCATGAAGACGGCAATGACCAGCGCAGCTGAGTTTGCTGGTAGTGGCTTCTGTATTTCGCTTCCAAGTCGTTTTTTGACCGCCTCTGGCTCTCCTCCACTCTTCACGTGGATGTGCAAAAAGAGTCCTCCGAGGAAGTCGGTCGACTGACACACGCGGTACGTGGCCAAGCCAGCGTAACCTATGCAGTATGATCAGTTTATCTCATCATCATCATCATCATCATCATCATCATCATCATCATCATCATCATCATCATCATCATCATCATCA